GTCGTGCGATTGCTCCAAACAACCCCCAGTGCACGGGACCCTGTCCCCGGCTGGCGTGCTCTCCTGCTCCAGCAGCCGACGGTGACTGGTGAAGCTTGCTGGGGACACCTGCCACCCCGGCACTCCCCAGAAGCGGCGCGGCTGCCGGGGGATGGCTCCCACCATCACGGGCTCCGGCTCGGTTCTGCTCACAGGCCACCACGAAGTCCTCACAGGCCCACAAAGCAACTGGGCAGCAGTGCTGGGGAGAGAGGAGAGAAGGGCCGGCTGTGGCTGGGCTGGGCTGGTGCCCAGGAGGCATCAGGTTGGAGGAGGCTGGCGTGGGGCAGGCCACCCAAATGGTCTGCAGCGAGGGCAGCAGCTCAGCGGGCCTCCTCAGGAGGAAGGGAAGGAGGGCTCCAGGAGGAGAGGCCAGGCAACCCTCCTGGCACTGAGGGAGGAGAAGAGAGGGGGTCTCTGGACCGCCTTGCTGAGGCGGGGGCGGGGAAGGCCAGGTGGACTCTCCGGTCAGCCCACAGATGCCTCCATACAGGTCTCCCATAATGCTACCTGTGACCCCGGCAACAAATGCTTTCTTAAAGGGGGAACGCATTTCATACACAAAGCAGGTGGTTCATGTTTCACCTGGGAAACATCTGAACTGCCGATGGAAAATCTGATGGGAAACAGTGATCTAAACTGGTTTCTTCTTTCAGTGATCTCAGTCATCATTCCCAGGCGCTCTGTCCACACATCGCCCGCCTGGGCTGCACCCCCACAGCAAGGCAGGGAGTCCACGCGAGAGGAAGGAGGTTCTGTCCAGCTGAAGGGGGATGGACGGAAGGCTCCTCTTCTCCTCTGGACGGACCTGCCCTTCTGATGGCCCCAGACAGACACCCTCCCCAAGGTTTCGTCCAGACAAGTCAGCCGGAAATAAGGACAGGCAGCCTTAAGCCTTCAAAGAGGGCTCTGCCATATGGGAGCGGCCAGCTGCGCTGGCCAGGAGCCTGGGTTCAAAGCTCCCCCAGGTGGCCTCTGGCCGGAGGGGAGGGACAGAAGTCCCGCCCCTGCCCACAACTGTCCGCTCTGCTGGCCAGGAAGAAGCGTTGGCCTGCAGGCCAGGGAAACCCGGAGGCTGGGCCAGCAAGGGAACCCCTCGACCCACTCAACGCCTGCCGGGGCCTTCTATTCTCTAGCCATTACATTTATTTGTTACCTAACTTACATCCTAGATTCTGGGTGGCTCACAGTAAATCATGATACCCTAAAAACAACAAACTAACCCTGACCCCACAGCTGCTCGACCACCTTCCAGAATGCCAAAATGAGGCACTGTCTGAACGGGGGCTAACAAGACTGGTGCAAGGAGAGAGCAGCAGATCTTGCCTGGAGAAGGCAGTCCCCAAGGTAACGTGGACCTGAGCAGCAAAGGCACTTCGACTTGGGCCCAGAATTGTGCTGGCATTCAGCGCGGTGCCCGCCCTGCTGAAGCAGCTCTCCCTTGCCAGCAAGCGGGCTGCCAGCTGGCTCCGGGTGGATTTCAGAGGCAGCCCCCGGGAGAGTGTGTGGAGGCAATGACGAGGGCACTGTCACCAGCCAGAAAGGGCCACCTCCTCCAAGGCTGGACAAGCAGACCCAGCCCTCCCCCCACGGCCACCTCCCGCCTTCTGGGGCAACCTGAAGCTCGTTAAAAGGCCCAGCAAATTTCAGTAGAACCCTTTATAAACACAGAGGCTGTCTGGCCTTGCATTTAGAGCCGCTATGCCCAGGAGCTAGGGCTGGGTGCCAGCTGCTCAGGCCTGCCTTGCAGTAAGAGGACCCCCAGATTATTGCAAGTCTCAGGAGCCAACGCAACACACATATGAGCTCCACCAGGAACTGCCTGAGAAGGAGAGAAAACTCCCCTGCCCTGACCAGGGAAAGGAGAAGCAGGGCCAGAGTCTGCCAAATGATCTCCAAGGGCCAAGCAATTGCAGGGGGTTGGGGGTCTTCCTGGCCACACTGCACTGAAGCAAGAAAGGCGGGTGCTGAGTGACCTTCACTGCCCATCCAAGCTGCACACTTGGGATCCGGGTTCTAAGTGCGAGGAGCCTCCACCCCTCTTTCTGGAACCAGCCCTACCAAGCCCAAAGATTCCAGCCAGGCAGCTGTCCAGGGGCTCCGTCCAGCTCCTCCTGAGAGGGGTTACTTGCCGTGTGCGTGTGAATCCCAGCCCCTTCTGGGATATCCGGTGGTCCCCCATTATCCCCTCCTTTTGTCTGGGAATGCCCCAAGGCCTGTCTGGCAATTCATCTTTCCACCTGGGTGTGAAGCGATGGGCTCTCCCCATCCCCTTCCCAGTTGCAGGGCCCAAGAAAGTGGTCGCCGGCAGGTCCAGGAGGGTTGGTCCCCAGGCCTGGCCACCAGCCAAAACGGGCTCCTTCCTGGACCTCCTTCGTGGTCCCATCTTGCTGGGAGCGCAGGGCGAGCCAGGGAAGTTTGAAGTAGCCAGAGCAGGCAGGGGTGACGTGCACCTGGGGCCGGTTCTGCACTGGAGAGGCTGGCCTGCCGAGGTGCCAGGGTACCCCCTCCATGGCAACCCCGTGCCAGGCCCCAGGAGCCGTGAGCGGTGGCAGCCGCAGCGGAGCACCTTTGGGCCCAAGGCCAGCGCTGTGCCCACGTGGGAAGGTGACAGTGCCAAGGCAGAGTAGTTTCCAGCCAGCCAAACCCAACAGAGACACCCTCTGCAGCTTCCTTCTTGCAATTCAGCTGCTCATTCCCACATGTGCTTGACTCAGTCATTTCTGAGGGGCCAGTTGGCTGGGGGGGTGCTCTGCCCGCCTCCCCCTCTCCGTCCACCTAGGAAAAGCAGGTGGAGTGCAAAGTGGGACGCCCATTGCCCAGAAGCCCAGCCAAGCCTGCCTTGGCCAGGACTCCCCACGTGCAACAGTCCCCTTCTTGCGAAGGGCGCGTCCGAGCCACGGCAGCTGTTCTTTCCAGCAAAAGGGCTGGAGGGCCGGGCCTTCAGGATGACCGCGGGGCTGTCACTACGTGCTTCTCCCTGTGAAAATAAATACAGCCCACAAATCCAGCATTCACTTCGCAAAGCACCCACAAAGGGCCATTCCCAGCTACTGCCTTCAGTTGCAGCCTCCCTCTGCAAAGTCCAGGCCTCGCTGAGTGGACCCCCGGTGCTGCTACCCCCCAGGACGAGAGCTGTGGAACAAACGGGGCAGGCGGCTCGCTGCCTCCTCTGCTGCTCAAGATCCGGGAAAGTGCCTCGACATTTCTAGCATCGCCTCATCCAGAACCGTCCGGGTGCTGCAGCACAGAAGGCCAGCCTCAGTTCTCGCTCTGGCCAAACAGGTCCCCAGCCGCAGGTCCCTCATGGACCTGTGCAGACAAAATTGTGCAGAGAGAAAAGACGAAGACCAAGGAGACCCCACAATTCGCCAAGCGCAGGAAGCAAATCTGCGGGAAGCGGCGCTGCGCTTCTTCCCGAGACAGAGGGCTGCTCCTGGGCCTCCTTGTACGCTCGGTCAGCTCCACGCAAGCTTGCTCTGGTGCCCAGGAGCCAAACCCAGTGCGCTTTTTGTCTGCCTTTAAAACATACTTGCAGAAAGCACACATTCGCCAATCAACAGAGGCCACGAACTGGCACTGGATTCCGCCAAAGTGCTGGTCCAAAGAGCCTCTGCAGCTCCTCTTCTATTCGGAGGCCAGGCACCAAGCCATGCCTCTGTGCACATGCAGAGTGGTTTTCCCACCATATGGAAGAAACAGCACCTCGTCCCCACCATCTGTTAAATGGGGCAGAATTTCTAAGCCAGTGTTTCTCAACCTTGGCCACTTGAAGATGCTGGCTGGGGAATTCTGGGAGTTGAAGTCCGCACATCTTCAAGTGGCCAAGGTTGAGAAACACTGTTCTAAGCTCTAGCTGCAGCTCTAGCATGTTATTTTTAAGGAAAGAAATGGAGCTGCTTTTTGATCCAGACAACAAATTACACCAAGCCCAAGCGAGGCTGCACCTTCTGGCAAAGTAATCTACCGAGTCCAGCCCCGTCTGGCCAGGAACACCCCAACTGAGTGTTAGACTGCCAGACCCACAAGGGACAGGTCTATGCACTCTGCCAAGCCGTGGCTTCCTGCACGCGCTTTCCGACTAGATTCACGCCACATGCTAAGCCAGACCCCGGCAGACAGGCCAACCTCCTCTTCGTGCAGAAAAGATGGGGAAATTGACCGGCCCATCAACCTCTCCGGAACCCTGCCGGGTGGGGCGGAAAATAAAGGGGGCTGCCAAGAGGCCTCAGCTGCCTGGACCCTTTCATCGGAGCCCAAGGCAG